AACCAATCGTTAGGACTAAAGACTCACAGGGCAATTCAATTTTATATATACATATATATATATATATATATATATATATATATATATATATTTTTTTTTAAACTTGCCCCCAACCCTGAAGTTAAAAACAATGAATGAATATAACAATTATAATTATATAAAAAACAATAAAACAATTATATATTATATAACAAATATAACAAGAAATAAGCAAACCATCTATATAAACAACAGAGCACTTGAAAAACTCTGACCACAAATTACTTTGTAGAACACAGGGTAACCTGGGGTGTCTGTGCCCCACGGGCTGTCTTAACAGTCTTGGTTGCTGTTTGGGAGATGGTTATTGCCATGGAGTCATAAAGCTGATGGCTTCCATAGAAAAAAATGAAACAGTCACTACACAAACGCTACGAAAATGTTGACGGTGGTCAAAAGAAAAACTAACATAGAAGCAATGTGATTCAGAATCTGCTCAGAAGACTTAGAGAAGGTAGAAAGACCTGAAGATGTTATAGATATTATAATTCTTAAAGGATTGGCTGAAGTGGTTACTGAGATAAGTGCATTTGGGATGCAAGGAGTGCAAAGTGAATCCACTGGATTAAAGAGAATGTAGCATTCATTTTTAAAATGTGGAGGACAAGCACATGGTGCAGATTTGGCAGCCTACACAGCAACACTTGTGAAAAAACATCATGGTTGAGTCCATTATGAAATACTGCACAGAAACTAAAAGCTGTTCTGATAGAAAATGAAAGGAATATCTTATGCTGCATGTAAGACAGGAGAGGCAATGATGCCTTTCTTTTTGATATGTTCAAATCCAGAGGGATTCTGGGCTCAAGCTAGACTTTGGAAAGTAAAGAGACAACTTGCAGCACCCAGAACACAGAAGCAGAAGTGAAAAAAGAGTTTTGGGAAATACAGCTGGATTGTGTAAAAAACACCAAACCTCCTCTTCCAATGAGTAAAATACTTCCATGAAGCCAACAGCATTAGTTGTTCTCAATGACCCTGTAACATTAGGGGTTTGTAAGGGCAGGAAAATGGAAGCTATAAAGGAAGAATCACTATATTTGCAGCACAGAATATCAATATCAAATATTATGAAGCTGTTGACTTGTTCCTACCAACTCATTTGCTCAGAGCATGCATTCACATGGAATCATAGAATTGCTCAAGTTGGAAAAAAACTTAAACATCACCAAGTCCAACTGCAACATACTGCCCTAACTCTAACAGCCCTCTGCTAAACCATGTCCCTGAGCACCACAAAATCTTGATCTGAGTGCAAACTTTGAAGAATGCAGGACTGAACTCACCACTGGACATCAGAAAAGGAAAAGAGGCGTGAGGAATAAGCAGAGGCTCCTTGCAGCAGGAGCCCCTAGTAACATGAGAATGTTCAGCAACCTTGGGACAGCATTATTTTCATATTTGAAAATGGTTCCAAATAATGTCCACCAAAAAACACAGAGACAAATCTGTTTTCTTCCCAAATTTGATCTGGTGCTGCAGTAAGTAATCCCTTGGGATTAAGGAAGTCCTCCTTTCATTTAATCTATTTCTAGATGCAGGAGAGAAATGACTTACAAGAATACATTACAGTATTTAAGGCGCAGCGTTAGCTGAGGTTGTTTGGGAGAGAGTAATGAGACTTAAGTCCTAACAAGACTTGGGTGTAACATGGAGGCCTACAAGTGATTTTCAGTTGGTTTCTTTTCTTCTGACAACTAATTAACCCACATAATGGAAATTACTTCTGAAATAAGATGATCAATCAGCAACTGTGGTTAGCAGTAGTTCCCTCTTTGTATGTTTTAAATTTCACTCCTCACCTTGAACAGAAACCAATTCAGCTTAAGATTTTAAACCAAAGAAGAGCTAGTTTATTAGCTTAATCCAGCTCAGAGGAAAAATTAGCTTTCTTCCAAATTCCCAATTATCTGCAAGTACAGAAATATCAGCAGATGCCAAATGGGCTGCATTTAAGTTGCTGGTTTCCCAGCAGGCACGTTTCCTAAGGACTGACTCATGCTATGCAGCATTTCAGAGCCATAACAATCAAATCCCATTATAATTAATACACTGCCAGGATTTCTTTGTGCCATTAGCTAGCCACTTCATCCAAAGCACTGCCTGGATTTCCGCAGACCTCAGTATCTTCCTAACTTCTTTAAAGATTTGGGCAATTGGAGAAGCAGAGCACTTGCTCCTGTCTCCACACCCTGCACGCAAGTTTTACCTGCACACATTGCAGGCAGCTCTCCCATCTGTGCCTGGTATCAAATGTGAAGTATCAAGTACTGTGTTTATTTGTACTTATTGCACTGTGAAAGCAGCCATTTTTAATCAGGTCAATGCAAACAAAGTTCCTGTGAGCACCTGTTTACGTTCAGCTTTACTTGCACAAACAGTATGAGATACAATGCTTATTTCAAACCTTTCCATCTTTCATTTCTTTCCAAAAGAACAAGCTATATGACAGAAAACATAAGAACCCTGCCACACAGTCAGTAATTTCATGTAGATGTTCAGCTGACAGTTATGCTTTTGAGATTCATTCATTCCCCATTATTTCTCATGTCCAGTTACTGCTTTGTGTGCAAACTGTAGGGTATGCTCTCTGCTTCATCATTGCCAGGTGGTTCTGGAGTTCAATGAATGAACCCATGAGGTTTCCAGACAAAGCACTGGTGTAGAGAATAACAGGGAAGACTCTGTTCTATACCTTTTATTTACCGTGGAGTGCCCTTCACACAGAAGTGAAATGTTTGGTAGAGATAAAGTATTTACTAGTCTATAGCTAAATACGTATTATTAGAAAATGCATTTATAAAGGAATTAGACAAAAGATGTGGAGGTACAAACACTGTTAATGCTTTACAGCAGCAAGGTTGTAGCAAGCTACACAAGGTAATGACTTACCAGGCTAAAACTATATACGGAACAGCACTTGGTTGGACCAGCACTTTGTGTTTTCAGTATGTACTCACACAACTTGGCAAAACACGACTACTTCAAGTTGTAAACCTACTTAAAACAATTGGCAGGATCATCCCAGTGTGCTGGCTCTAGAAGTCCGGACAAAAGGGGGTTAAACTACCACACCATCATTGTGCAGCACATTTTACGGCTCCCTTCACAGGGCTTAATATTAAAACCACACATATTTTTGTTTATGGGAAATTCATAATTAATAAAACCCAAGCATGTTGTTTTCAGTCATGGACCATTTACAGACTACATTTCATCAGCTCTGTAAAAAATTCTTTTAAATGTGCTTGTGGAATGCCTTTGTGAAGCATCAAACACCAAAAATGGCTATGACATTTCTCATCAGAGTTTACTTCACATCAACTACAAGTTGTCATTCAAGCCAGGACATAAAATGATCCTAAGTGGTTGTTATCTCTCTCAATAGAAGCAGAATATAACAAATATTCTTGCACTTTCCTCTCTTTTGCACCTGTGGCCTTCCCAAAGCTGATAAGAATAATTTTCTGTTGTATTTCAAAGTAAATTATAACCCATATGGGAAGGGACCAGCTGATGGCTCTAGTGAGTAAACTAGCCCATTTAGCCAACAGGCAGACAAGGCACAGGCATCCCAAGACCACTTTGCCCTTACACACCCTGCCCTCCTGCTGGGTATCACCTCTAAGCTGGCAAGGGCTGTCCTGCTCAGTTACTCCCTGGCCTCTCTGCCAAGGTTGGGAGCAAAGCTCTTCTCCTGGGTGCTATGACAGGGACACCTTCCTACAATCATCCGACCAGACCCATTATCCTTCAACTCAGCCTGCCCAGATAGAACAAACTCATAGAAGCTAAGCTGGATAACAAACAGGCTTTTCAACCCAGAGAGTAAAACCACCTCACTACTCAAGATCTACTTTTGGGCAAAAAGGCAGCCAGACAGTCTTGGTTTTTGAAAACAGTTGTATGAATTTGAATCAATCTACTTCTCTTTGCTTCTATTAATTTGCTGAGTTATAATGTCTAATTTATCAGTCTGAGTTGCAGGAAAAACGTGCTTCATGCTACAGCCAACTCTGCTAGGCAGCCAAAAAATCCAACTTCAGTTAACAGCAAAGTCAGATATTTCACTTTCATAAGTGTCCAAGTAAAATATCTTTGCAGTGACAGTTAGCAAGTGAGAAATGGAGCTATAAAAGCAAATCAATAATGCACCAGGATTATTTCACATATCTATGAAATGCACTGGTGTAACTAGGAACAGCGGGACAAAAATATCAAGGATAAAAAACTGAATGGAACATAAGTAAAGAACAGGGATTATCAATATTCATTACCTATGTTTTCATACTGCAGTCTTACTGCACCAGAAGTCACATCAAGATTTATGTGTATAGAGACTGTATCAAATGCCTGGGAAAGTTAGGGACCTGGAATCCATCACTAAATCCTTTTTCTAATTTTTTTTAATTTTTACTCTTCCAACCATTAGCAAAACAGCTGAACTCAAATGACAAGGAATAAAGGAGTTGTTTCATGCTGGAAACCATAGTTCACAAGAGATGAATACATGCAGCAACCCCAAGAAAAGCAATTCTCCCAAGCCCCTCCAGAGCCTCCATTCCCTGTTCTCCTAGCCTTGTGTTTTGGCACTTCCTATCGATTCCCAGCACTGACCACATTTTTCAGCCAACCATTTCAATACAGTGTCAGTAGGAAGCTAACCAAACAATCCAAAAGCAAACAGCTTTCTCACAGCATTTTGTAACAACAGAAGGTCTCAAATGTTGTGCAGAAGTCCCAAATCAGACATCTCAGTCTGCAACCACCACAAGCTATATGCTCTGTGGTTCACCCATTCCCTGAAGGGCTGGTGGGCAGCAAGCAGGGCCAGAGCCACAGCCTTGTAAACACTTTTCAGAAAGGCAACAAGGATGGAACTGTTGGCCATGTGGGATCAACCCCTGCTGCCCACCCACACAACATACGCTCAAGGAGAGGTGGAAAAAACATGCACTTACTTTCCCAAATAGCAGTAACCCAGGGCTGGTCAGGTGTAAAGGCTTTCCTTCATTACCCAGAATAGAAACTGTATTTAAAAAAAAAAAAAAAAAAAAAAAAAAGGCAGATTTTACCCATTTAATTCCCCGAGACAGCTATCAAGAGCAACTTAAAGCATCTTCAGCAAGGTTTACCATTCATTATTCATTACAAGATATAAAAATATGCATGGTAGCAACACCTTCTAAAGAAAAAAAATACACTGTCAGAGCAAAATGAGCACTTTTCCTTGACACATTGCAAGCCAAAAGAATGTGTTGATTTTGTTGGTTTATTTCCTGCTTGTTTTGTGTTTTTAAGATATCCTAATATAACACACAGAAGAGCAAAACAAGGTGATCAAGTTAGTATTCTATATGCCAAATGCACGAAGAGTCTATTTTGGGTTGGAAGACAAGGGACAACGAGCAATAGCCATTCAGCTAACATCTACCATTCTGGATGATCAGTTACAAGATGTAATTCTACAACATGGTGGAAAATGCAATGATAAAAGCAGGGAGGCAAAGCCTTTGGCTGCAGAAAATGAGGACAAACCCAAATACAGTACTGTGCATGTAGGGGGGAAAAAAAAGGAAAGGAAAGGAAAAAAAAGCTGCTTACCTTTGGAAACCCTCAGGTAGGAAGAGATCTCCAGCAAAACACCCTCACCTCCACTGCCAACCCTTAAATGAGGTCTGGGATGGGGTGGATTCTGGCCCCAGACGTTCCTGTGACTCAGATACATTGTATGCACCTGAGCTTGGCCCTGCCCTCCCACCAGATGCTCCATCAATGTTTCAAGCAGTGACAGCATTCCCACTACCCAAGGGCAGACAGGAGTAATAAAGACATGAGCATTTCTTTAATTCAAACATGTTAAGACACATCTCAAACTCTGGATGCAGAATTTTTTTCTCCCTATCGTTTCTTTATCCTCTGCATTGCTACACGTGGCGGAGTAGAAGATTTCATGTATTTGACATCATACTTCCAAGATAGAAATCTTACAGAGACCACTCCAGCACCACATTGTGATGCCCCTCAAAAGGCAGTAATATCAGCTTCAAACATTCTGCTAATCTTTCCACTCTCCCCAGCCTGTGCTGCTGCCATGTTTCTCTCCAGAGACCAGTGCATCTCCGTTGGAAAAACCAACAGGCAACAACCCACCAACGGGTATTTCCAGGGCTTGAGCTGTGGGTACTTCTCAAGGACTGATTTACTGCTAAATACTTGTGCAATCGGTGTTAGGCTCACTTCAAGCTATATTTCTGAGTGACTAAGAAAATGTAAACTGTGATTGATATCGTATCCTACTCTTTTCTGCCCCTACGTCGTGATCACCACCAGCATTTCACAAGTAAAAACACCAAGGTACATTTAGTTAATCCAAATGAGATTACTGAAAACTCTACACAGATTTTTTTAGTAATGAACATGTACGTAGGTAGTATATATGCATACATAGACACAAATCAATATCCATACAACTTTAACAGAGCTAGCAAGTCTCTTTACACCAAGTTACCACCCACAAACATGGACATTCTTCCTTCAGGCACCTAGCCAACCTCACTTGAATGGAAAAGGATGGGAACAAGATAATACATGCTGGTGGTGTTTGAATGGAACTATTACATTGTTAGCAGGAGTGTTATTTTGAATTTTTATCTTGCCGCAAACAATAGCAGAATATTCAAAAAAGGCAAAGAATCTTGCACATTTTTCTCGACTCACCAATTACAGACTGTAACAGTGCTTCTTATTCAAAGACCTAAACTTGCAGATCCCAGAGTTCAGTTATCAAAGTACCCTTGTTATCAGTTAAGATAAACCAGCTGTCTTCATAAAAGCTCAGATAAATCTAGTATCCCAGTCCAGAGCAATATGTTTTTAAAGCCAATGGATGCCAATGCTCTAGATGAGACTGTAAATGGAAACCTAAGCAAGATAACTTATGTATGTACGTCATCTCCTGTTGTCTGATATACAAACCATTTCATCAAGACTTCGACTTCTTCCTTCTTATTTCTTCAGTACATTATTTACCACTAAAAAGCATCAAAATTACCAAGAGTAACAAAGAAAAATAGTATTATGCATCTGTATTAAAAAAAAAAAAAAAAAGCAAGCACTCATGGAAAGGCAGATCAAGCAGTTAGTCTAAAAATAAATTTAAAAACTTGGCTATAAGCTAATTACTTTTATCTTTAAATATCATCATTACTACATCACAGAGAGAGCAAATTTTACAAGCTGTATATCAAACTAAAAATTCCTAACTCTCAAATCAATTCTTATAAAACAAAATATAAAGGCAATTTCCTCCATGAAAAGCTTTAAAATAAATGAAGTTATGTTGGATTGCAAACGTCTCCATACAAAGAATGCTTCTTTTCTAAGGTGAGGAAAAAAAAAAGAAAAGAAAGGGAGACATTTAACTGGATAATTACAAAAAAATTGTATCACAAGGAGAAGTAAATCTAGCTCTGAACATATGGAAAATTAAGCTTGGAATTGATTAAACATGAAATAAAGCAATACTCCAAAAGGTTGGAGTGCAAATTCATAATCTCTCAAAGACAACAGTTTATTTACCACACCAGGCACAGTAGTTCTGCCAGCTTCTGTAGGCTGCCTCCCACCTTGCCATCCATAACCAAACCACGCTGGGGAATAATGCACAGTGGTATTTCCGGTTCCTAGCAGGCTTATCATTATTTTCAGAATACTTTGATTAACAATCCTTTTTTTTTTTTTTTTTTCTATTAACACTGAAAAATGAATTAGAACTCTAAGAAGCTTTCTCTGCTCTCTAGAAATTGGAATGATGTTATACAATCTCAGCAAAACAAGTCATAATGTGTCTGTTATTAACGATTCTGGTCATTGCTCCTGTACAGAAAAACACAGCAACAGAACAAAGATTGTCTGTGTTTAGATCACACAAGCAGGTCAAGGAATGCCCATTTGTGGTAGGCTGATGGCATTCTGGTGATCTTTAGTCCACAACAATCCTATTAAATTTGTGACCTTTATTGGGATTTGCTCATGAGACATCTGATGAAGTTTCTCTTGATATCAACAGCAATCTTGCTACAGACTTCAAAAGGGGATCCAAATCCAGACTCAAGAGATGAAAGCTTAGAGTAAGCCGCTCATTTTTCTAAGATACATGCTCTGTCATTGTGCTTCAATATGCAGCATAAATGGCTTCCCCTCTGGAAAAGAGAGACCACGTCTCCTTGGCTGAGAGCGACGCCTTAAAATAAACTTCCTGAATGAGGCACAGGCTTCTTCACAGCTGCTATGTGAAGTCCTAGGAAGAAAGTTGGTAGCTGCCATCTACAAATTCAATCCTATTACAGAGTTGATACTAAAAGATTAAAATGAATTCTTTCCACAAACATAACACAAGCAATTCACATCCAGAGAATACCTTATTTCAATGTCTTGACTGGAACTAATGCAGCCAGGGGATCACCTATCATAACCTGTAGCCCTGAGATGAAAAGACATGGAGATTTTGAAGGGCGTGAGGTGGATGGATATAGACTGCGGGTGAGAGGTAGAGCAGGCAAGAACAGAATCTATCCGTTCGTGAAACAGGAGACACAAATGGATAACAGAGATTCAAAGGGTTTTGCTCTTTCAAGTGCCATCAGTTGAATTTGTGATAACGCTCACGAGAAATGGAACAGATTTGCTGGAAGCAGTAATGATGAATACAGAACATCCTTACAACTTCTGAGAAATCTGCTTAATGCTAAGCTTGTTGATTTCAAGGAAATGACAAAAATAATTTAAATGTTTTCATACATTTTTGTAGAGACCTGCAAAACCATGTCAACCATGTGTGCTTTATGCAACTACACAACTATGGAAGAAAGCCTATCCCCTGGATTTTGACACTTCAGTTACATTTTTTTCTCTCTTTTTTTTTTTTTTTTTTGTGCCCCATCAAGTCTGGGAAATGCAAAAGGGTCAGTGTAGTTGTTGCTGATTTTTGACCATTTTTGGTCAAAGAGACATTTTCGAGAACTAGCTGCTAAGGTGGATTGAAGGCATGCTTCTCTTAGGGGTTGTTCAAAGGGCTGAACTGTCTTTGGACAGGGCAGCTTAGCACAGCAGTAAGTATGCTTGTCAGTGCAGAAATAACAAAAGTTTTCCTGGAAGCTAGCTGTATTTTACAAAGGATTTGTTGTTACTGAATTTTGTGTGCAAAAATCACACGTTTAGCGTAACAGTATTGTGTTTGATGTAAAGCTGAAAAATTAGTTGGTTGTAAACATCTGATGTTTTCTCAAGCCAATTAATCTTCTAATAGCTTCAGTATTCAGAAGCTCATGAGAATAGATACCTAATTAGTTTTCCAGTATTCCATTTGTGCCAATTCCATAATGTTCTGTTTTGTAACTGGCACAGAACATAGATGGGGAGATGCAACATTTCTGTAGAAAGATAAATGCAATATTTTAGAAGGTGGACACAAGGACTCACCGTGTCACATGCAATGATGCTATCTGAACTGCTCAGACAGACCCAGGAAGAAAATCAATTTGTAAGTTCTTACAGCACAAAAAGTGATGAGAAATAGCCAGTGCGAACTTGTCAAGAACAGATCATGTCAAAGCAATCTAATTTCCTTCCTTGACAGGATAACCAGCCCAGTGACTAGCAGAGAGCAGCTGGAGTGACAAATCTTAACTAGGTTAAAGCTGTTTGGTCTGTCAGAGAGAAATTCTTTAATAGAGCCAAAGAAAGCTTCCTCCACAGGGAAGCACTGTAAGGGGGATGCAAAATCAGATGGATATCCCTAATGGAGTCATGGCAGCCAGTGCTTGGAGCCCATGTTAGCAAGTGGGACTGTATCAATCTGTGCTATATGCTGCCCAGTGCACTCAGTATTCCATTAACACCATCAGTAATGGTATAAATTCCACATGAGAGACTTGGGAATGTTACCAGAGTGGGTGGAGATGTACTCAGGAAGACAGTATTTAAATTCAAAGTGTTCTTAACAAACTTAAAAATAACGGGACAAAATTCAAATCAGGCATGTGGATGACGAGTCTGGAGCACAGCTAGCAAACACACTGACACAACCAGAGGGACTTGGTGAGCAGGGGTGTAGTAGGTCATAATATGAGCCCATAATGTGACTCAGCTTGACTGCTAAAAATAAAACCTAAAAAAATAAAAAAATAAACTACTTTCAGTGGTGAGCAAGAGAAATGAAAAATACTAGAAGACTCCTACAAGCACACACTGCAATTGTTTTGACACACAAATCAGAGAGGAGAAATTACGACAGTAATCCATCACTCCTTCATTAAAACTTTTCAATAGCTATTGCTGAAATACGCAGCACAAATATTGAGGCACCTCATCTGTGGTTGATCCTAAGTGATATCTCAGGTCTCTTCCAGGCCTTGTCTTAATGATGCTTTTTCTAATAAGCAAAACAAATCCCTTCACTGAAATTCTTCATTGCATAAAATAGATGTAAACGTGGAAAGGTTTACCCAACAGACTTGGGAAGAAAAACAACTTAATGAGATAATCTGTGTTATTCATAATCAAAATGAAAAACTATTTAATCTGCAAGCAGCTGAAAATAAATTATCTAACATTCTAGTCCAGAGAAGCATACACCATGGAAAGATAGCACAGAAAAAAAT